GTTGTAATCGACTTGCCGACACTTAACCATAATAACAATGTGTATTTTAAAACAACAGTTGGCCACAAGGTAATTGTAACTTACGACAGCCTCCATAGGGTTTTCTATGGCTGATAGTTCAGAAACAGATCACAAGTCTTTCCCTAAGGCACCTCTTGAGGTGACAGAAACCTCTAAGCTGGGTAAACACCCAAGCTGATACCCTCCCTACCACCCACTACAATCAAGTTAATTCTGACTCATCGAGTTTCTGAGGCTGTAAATCTTTATGGGAGCAGAAAGCCTCATCTTTCTCCTACAGAGCAGCTGATGGGTTTGAACTGTCAATGTTGTGGTTAGCACCTTCCAGGGCTCCTTTGTAGCATGCAGAGAACCTACATATTGTATAAATCATAATTATATATTTGCTTCTTTCTTTCTAAACATTGGAACGAAAATAGTTTCTTCTCTTTAATATTTTGGTGGTGGTGGTGGGGTTAAGTGCTTTCAAGTGGGTTTTCACTAATAGTGACCCTGTATAATAAGGTTTCCAAGGATTGGTTAATGGATTTGAATCGCCAGCCCTGCTGTTAGCAGTCTAGTGCTTATCCAACAGAACCACTCCAGGACTCCATTCTCTTTAGCATAGTAGTTTTCCAATCCTGTTTATATTCTGAGTTTTGATAATTTAGCATATTTATGCTAAATAGCTATGCATGGAGCTCAGAATGTGTTTCAAATTAATAGGCATAACTGAAGGAACAAATGTTAGTGTTATATATAAAATATTATATTCAAAGGGGTTTCAAAAGTTTGTGGGGGAAATTCTATTATCTTTTAATTCCATTTTTCCATGAACGTTTTCAATGTCCCCACAAGTACACTGTTATAATATGCTTTCCATAACTAAGAAAAAGTGTAAATCAAAGTGGTTTAAATAATAAGAAAATGCATTAGCACACAGAAACAAAAATCAAAGGATATTGTGTAAGGTCATGGTAAAAAAAAAAAAAAAAAGGAACAGTGATTAATCCTGTAAATTTCTATGATTCATTCAGAAAAACCTTTTTCTAGGTAACAAGTTTTTATGCATGTGACTTACCCTCAGAGCCACTGAGTCAGTTCTAACTCATACTGACCCTGTATAGGGTTTCCATGGAGAAGCTGTTGGGTTTCTAACACCAACCATGGGATTAACAGTCCAGTGCTTGCCCTGCAGTGCCACATCAGAACTCTAAGCTTATTACTAGTGGGAAAATAAGATAACCTTTCTGGCCCCCATGGAATATAAATCCTGAAGCTCTTAGTTCAACTGAATTGAACGAGGTAATTTAATAGAATGAATATTTATACTTTTTTTAAAAAATATATTTTTTTCTTTTCATTTTATTATTATCCCATTGGGCAGGGGGCAGAGATCATATATTATATTTTTTCAAAGACTGAGATAACAAAGGTATAGTGTACATTCTTAAAGAATATTGGTTTGTACAAAGTAATTGAGGGAAAGACAAAGAATACACAGTGCTTAGATGTGGTCAATGACCACCAGTAAATTAGCTTACTGTAATAATTGAAACTATTACATCATCCAAAGAGATCTCCCCAGTAGTGTGTAAAACAAAGAAATTCTCACCTTGTGGCATTTCAGGAGGCAGATAATGAGGCTCTTGAGCACTAACATGCACCCATTCAAAGTCATCATATAGATCCTGATGGTAATCACAGGCCCCTGGACCATCATCAAAAGTACAGCCACCTAAAGGGGAAAAGAAGACTGTCTTTACATTCAAAGGAGCTTTTCGAAAAATGGAGGAAACGCTGAAGCAGAAAATGTTATCTTGGAATTTGTAATTTAACTCTTAAAATTTTCACAATAAACTCCAGTTTATCACTATTCTAATTTTTTACATACAAATAAATATCTACCAGTATCTTCTTGAAAAATTAAAAATGCTGTATAAACCAGATACAATGTGCATTTCCTGAAATATACAAACCACCTAGAGTCTAAATTCATTTCAATAACTTTTGTGGGAATATGGGAACGTAGGAAAAGTGTGACAATTTTCTCCCTCTATAATGTAAATTCAGAAAATAAATTAATATCTAGGTCTTACATAATTCCTAAAAAGAACACACTAAAATCTACTCATAGTAGCAAATGATACCTATAAAGTTTGTGGGTCTAAGCAGATTGCGATAGATGGTAAAATCATCTATATTTTATTTAGATTATTTTCATACACAGTTAGGATTGTAAAGAAACACACACACACACACAAAAGCATGAAACCTGTAAGATTAGACTATAAATTCCACCACAATTACCCTTTTCTTTAATAACTTCCTTAAAAACAAACAAAAAACAGGAGGCAGCCTTTCTCTTTTACACACACAAGTCTTTCTCCCCTCCCCACCCTCACTTTATGTTTAGGGCTAATTATATGGCAGAAGCAGAATGATTACTTACTTATTTCTTAGCTTACATACACAAACACAAAATTCAACTTATTTTATTTATTCAAATCATGAAAATAAGAACTGGCCTATATGTCTAATCTTGAAAGAAAATAGATTAGAACTCATGAAAATCAGCAGTGGATTTAATGAGAAAAACCAATAGCCTGCCTCCTTTCAAGTAGCTTATTTGTTTCGTTTCCATGGGGATCTTTGTGCAACAACTCAGCAAATTCTCTGACCAAGTAGCAGACTGGGAGGTTGTAAACTTCACACCTATCAAATCTTCTCTGTCATCAGGGAGTTCATTTTCCTCATCAAAAGTTTGACAATTTGAATTGTCACCTGTGACAGAAGTCAAGCCCCTGTCAAAGGCAAAGAAGGTAAAACTTACAGGTGCCCAGCTGATGTGATAACCCTAATACATTTCTTAAAAGCAGGATATGTATGTATTTCCCTTGAAACACACTTACGACAACACCAAACCTCTGAAATTTCCAAACTTCCGAGTGCTATATTATCTTTTATTATTGTTAAGTGCAGTCTCATAGTGATTCTATTAATGATTTCCAAGGAGCAGTTGATGGATTTTAATAAATGTTCCCAAGAAAAATTATATGATTTTTAATTTAAGTTAACCAGTGAAAAGTTGTTGCTAGAAAATGCATCTTCATGTAGAAATAAAAAAGTTTCCCCAATACACTTTGCTATCACAACCCTAAAATGTCTCATAGCTTTGCAAAACTCACCATGGAGGACCCCATTACCCTTTATAATGTGAGTGCCCTCTGTAGATAAAATGAAGCTACCAATGGAACCCACATGGACTCATTTAGAAGACAAATGGCGTTAATTGCTGTCCTTCATCGCCACTGTTAATTTTAGACTCCAGCATTCTGATTATCAGTAACAACTAGGAGTAGCTGTCCACAATAAGTGGGTCAACCCTTGCTATTTATTGCACCTCGCTGCATTCTCAGCAGTGCATCACAAAGTCCTGGAAAGAAAAGCTCGTCCACTTGAGAAATACAATTTTTTAACGATGAATGTTCATTTTACAGTTTAAAATAAGTTCTAACTGAAAGTGTAATATATTTTGGCACCTATACATCATATTGGAGTCCTGGTGTGGCTCTGTGGGTTAATGCACCCGACTACAAAGCTGTTTGAACTGCAAGGTCGGCGGTTCAAGCTCACTAGCTGCTCCTCGGAAACCCTATACAGTGTGGCTATAGGTCGGAATCGACTCAACAGCACTTAACAACAACAACAACAATATAGCATATTATAAAACCTTTGGAAGAACAAAGCAGATGGGAGAACAATTAGACATGTCTCAATGGGCTAAGTGGAACAGAGGTAAATAATGATATAGGCACAACCTTAGAACACAGGGTTCTGGGATACAGAGATTGAGCCATGGTTGGAATGGGAAAAGGGGGGTAATAATGTTAAGATGCTTAGCTGTCTTTTGAATCTTGGTTTTCCTTGAATTATACTATAAAATAGACACTGGAGAGGGAGAGAAAGGAATAGACAAAAGCATCGCCATAGAAAGCTTGTAAGTCCATCTTCTGCCTATAACTGATTGGAATACCTAAAATGGGGCTACAACGAGCCCAGTGAAGGAGACTTCCTGTGGAGCCTCTGCAATACATAAGACTATAGGTGGAAGCCTGAACCACATCCAGATCTCCAGAGATGGGAGATTCCCGCTTGAAAGGACAAGCAGACCAACCTGGAGTGGCTAGAAGAACAGAAGATACTTCTTGAAAGAAAGACCTACAGGAAAAATATAAAACAACATAGGCAGACCGACTGTTACTACAAGAACAAGCAACTTGCTTTCCTGCTGGAGTTATGTATTTCAGGGATATGAACCATTAACTGAGCTAAATGACTGTTTTTGTTAAGTGCCATTGAGTCAGTTCTGACTCACAGTGACCCTGTATAGGGTTTCCAAGGAGCGGCTGGTGAGCTTGAACCACCGCCCCAGCAGTTCAAACTGACCATGCAGTACAGCGCATTAACCCACAGTGCCAAACCAGGACTAAGTGACAGGAGATTCAATATAAACATTAAGCCTGGCCTGATATATATAGGACACACATATATGCTACCCCCGCCAAATTACATAATGCATAGCTTAGAGTCCTAGTGGAGCACTGTATAATAAGCACAGGACTGTTTAACATCGTATCAGTAGTTCAAATCTACTAGTCATTCCTTGCAAACCTTATACATGGTTGCAATGCGTCAGAACTGCCTTAATGGCACTTTAACAATTGCTGTTGTTTGACACTGAGTAGATACTAACTCATAGTTACCCCCCATGTGGACACGGTAGAACTGTTTCATTGTCAGGTCTCTTTTCCAGGAAACTTCCAGGCTAGCACAAACTGCCAATCACTTTACAGAGGATAATAAAGGCATGATCAAAGTTCTGAAGAACACAGAAGAACGGGCTACCTTCTCTCAGGTTGATTACAGAAGAATTCATAGGGAGACTCTCTTTTTAACCAGTCCTGGAATGATGCTAAAGGATAAGCTCCAGACCTCAAGGTCAGTTTGAACCGCAAGGTCAGAGGTTCAAAAACACTAGCTGATCCTCAGGTACACTAAGTCAGAACCAACTCAACAGCACTTAACAACAACAAAGGATATACCAGTTAGAGAAGTGCAAAATGGTTTGTTATGAGGCATCAAATTAGAAGGAAAAGTTAACAGCAAACAAATACGAGTCTAAAGGCACATGATGTGTTGGAGAATTTCAAGTAATTCCTGTATGCGGTGTAAATGCATACTAGACAAGGTAGAAGAAAATTTAAAATGAAGTATCATTGTTGTTGAAATGAAATACCACCATGGAGTTGGTGACCCTGCACAGGGTTTCCGAGGCTGTAAATCTTTACGGGGGTTGATGGGAAGAATTAGAGAGTTTAATGAGAAACGTCATTGTTGCTAAGTACGGACACCTCATAGCGACCCTGTATCGATTCCAAGGAGTGGCTAGTGAGTTTGAAATTCTAAGCTTGTGGTTCAAAATGACTTGCTTATCCTACAGTGCCACACCAGTACTCCTTAAAAAGAAATGCAGGGAAATAATTTGGTTCATTCTTATACTAGAGGACACATAATATGTCTTCAGCTAATGACCATTTAGGAGCTCTGGTAGCATAATGGTTATGAGTCGGGCTGCAAACCTCAAGGTCAGCAATTCGAAACTAACAGCAATTCTGCAGAAGAAAGATAGACTTACTGTTTGCATACAGATTTACAGGTTGGAAACCCTATGAAGGGTTGCTAAGAATCAAAACCTACTTGATGGAATACATTAACAACAACAATTGACCATTTAGGGTTCACTAGAAACTCCTCAACACACAGTCATCTATACAAACATTCTTGAGTTTAATATGCCCTTATATAGAGTATTAAAACATATTTAACAGGAAAAACAAAAAAACAAGATTCTAATTCATAACTTATGAATGCAAAGGTCCACTGAGATTCACGCAGAAAAGAAGGAAGTAACGCTGATTTGGTATTCTACAAATGTAGTTAGGCAGAGGGGAAGAAAAATGAGCTAGAAAACAACTTCCATTTTCAGTTGTATTTGCTACTGGTGATAAAGCTGCAATGAACAGCTGCAAATCATGCCAGGAAAATGGAACCCACAAGTTCTTTGAACCTAGGAGGGAAATTACTTCTGAAGAGCCATTCCACAGATTGCTAATTCCCCATAGCAATCAGTCAGCTAACGGTCTATCTATCATTGCAGTGGTCTGCTTCCACCATGATCACTAAAGGTTGCCACCTGAAAATAACAATCAAGTCGATTTGGATTTTCTAGAACTTCATTCCATTCTTAAGTTTCTCACTGAAAGAGCAAGTACTCAAAAACATTAGTTATCCCCCGCCTCCAAAAAAAAAAAAAAAAAGGTCTCCCTAACCCAAACACTACATATTACCAAAAATATGTAAATATGTAGCATTTAAAGACAGATTCTTAAGTAAATAGATGGTGATAACTCTATGAGAGAACAGGGAAATAGACACTTTCTATGGAATTGTGAGCTAATCAGTAGCAAACTGATTTTTTTTTTTTTATGTTTTATTGTGAATTATGTGATAGTTTACATGGGAGAACATTACTTTTACATTCATCCTATCATATATCATTTCACTGCCATGACTACAATCCCCTCCATGTATCATCAAACCAACCAAAGGGTATATCCTGCAAGCCTGGCTCTCGGTCATCAGCACATAGCCCCTTTCCTTATCTGGGTCCAGAGT